GTTTGTCAGGCAGTATACAACTGGGTCAAACGTATGACCCTGGTTCTGGTCTCACAAATTGTTTGGTCATTCAGCTTCTGCCTGTGCCATTACTCTACTTTGTGGACGGGTTAGCAGATACTCTGCATCAAGATGTCGGCAGTAGGTCTTCTGTCCATCCAAATACTCAGGATTCTGGGAATCAAGTGCTGGTTTGCCAGTCCAGCTGCTAACTGTCACCCCAAGGAAGTGTTCGTGAAGTTAGAGGTGTTGTGAATCCAATCCCGTATATGACAGAATAAACTAGCCAACTTATATATTCTGCATGTCGGTAAATTAGCACCAAAAGATCATAAAGGTTGTTGAAGCTTACATAGTGCAATTCTAGGTTTCTTCTCTCTCCAGAGGAATGTAACAAATGCTTTGTATAGTATGAAAATATATTTGTGCTTGAGGGGAAGAGGGATGGCTTGTATCAGATATAGTAATTGTGCAAAGCTTACCATACGTAATAAATTACACCTGCCTAATAGTGAGTGGGGTAGATATTGCCAAAATTATAGATGCATAGTATTTGAGGTTGAATAAAGACACAGGGCCATCAAGTTCAACCTTTGTGTGTGTGACTGTGTTTGCGTGCATACGAGTCCCCATGTGATCCTGTTTTAAAGAGTACCTGTACCCCATGTATCTTACGGTCTCTGAGGAAGGTGTCTAAATGATTTTTGGAATAATTCAATACTTTCAGCTGATACCCCTGCTTGTGGCATCGAGATCCAGACTTTAACCGCTCTAACTGAAAAGAAGCCCCTATGCCCCTTGTGATTTAAATCTTTTCTTTACCAATTTTAGATGGTGGCCTCTAGTCTTTGTTACAGAGTTACTGTAAAACGTTTATTGCTGATGTTGCCATCACTACTAAACATCTTGTACATCAAAACCATTTCCCCCCTCTTTATCGCCTCACTTCTAGCATGAACATGTTTAAGTTTAGTAACCTTGCCTCATAGCGTTGGTGCTCCAGACTCCTAATTAGTTTTGTTGCCCTTCTTTGGACTCTCTCTAGCTCAAGGACATCCTTTGTGTGGATTGGTGACAAAAATCGAACTGCATACTCTAGATGGGGCCAGGCAAGCGATCTAAAAATTGGCAAAATGATTGCTTTGTCTCTACAGTACATTCCCTTTTCAATACAGGGCAGTTCTCTGCTCGCTTTGTTTGTAACAGCCTGGCATTGCAAGCTTTTCCATCTGTGGTCTACTATGACCCCCAGTTCTTTTTTCCATTTCTGACTTCCTAGTGGAATACCCATTAATGTGTATTCTTCTTGCTTATTTTTAAACCGAAAGTGGATTACTTTGCATTTATCAACATTAAGCCTCATTTGGCATAAAGTTGCCCATCCCCCTATTTTATCCAGATCATCTTGTAATGTTATGATGTCTAAGTCCATGTCTATTACCCTCCCAATTTTAGTATCATCAGCAAACACAGAAACATGACTTGATGCCCTCCCCAACATTGTTAATAAACAGATTAAACAGTATGGGGCCTAGCACAGAACCCGGGGGCACGCCACTCATGACCAATGTGAAAAAGAGCCATTTATCAATACTCTCTGGACACGTTCCTGTAGCCAGTTCTCTATCCATGTACACACCATTTCATCTATGCCCATAGATCCCAGCTTGTGTACTAAACATTTATGTGGTACCGTGTCAAACGCTTTAAAAAAATACAGATATACCTCATCCACCGGCCTACCTCCATCCATATCTCTACTCACCTCTTTGTAGAATGTTAGTAAGTTGGTCTGACAAGAACGGTCCTTCCGAAATCTGTGCTGATTATCATTTAGTATACCATTGTCGCAAACAAAATCCACTATTTAGTCCTTTTGCAACAGTTTGCATACTACTGATGTTAGACTGGCTGGTCTGTAGTTCCCAGGTTGGCATCTTGGCTTTTTTTTGAAAATTGATACAACCGTAGTTTTCGGCCAGTCTCTTGGTACCCTTCCATTCATTACAGCCCGACCGACAAAACTGATGAGGGGCGATACTTGCAGAACAGGAGTGTGACCTATGGGCCGATGGGAGGAGTATTGCAAATACACACCTGGCTGATTTTTTACATAAACACAAACGGATTGCATTGATAATATTATGATCTGTGGCATTGCATATATGGTTTTACAGGATGACATCTGAAACAGGATGTGATGTCAGCATGACATCTCAATGGAGATAAGAATGTCAGCTACTCGCATTCTTATCTCCATTAAACCTGTCTTTTTCCTGAGTGTATGCTGAGGGAAAAAATGAATTCAACGCCTCAGCCTTCTCCCTGTCGCTTGTGATTAATGTTCTTATCCTTTATTGAGCATATCTGCTCTTTTCTTACCCTTTTTACTGTTTATTTATTGGCAACATTTTTGGGGGTTCTTCTTACAGACTGTGGCAATATATTTTTCATAATCTATTTTAGCTGCCCGAATTTCGTGTTTACAGCTTTTATTACATTCCTTGTAGTTACAGAATGCCAATACTGTCCCCTAGAATAGATACCACCTCTAAAGGATAGTGAGGCGGAAAAAAGAGGTTATACTTCAACCAGTCATTCTTTTTGTATGCAAATAGGTTATCAATCATACCTATTGTGTATTTTTATACACCATAGTGGTAGCATTTTTATTCAATACTGTCCACTCCATCTTATATTTTTTTAAATGCCATGCTCTTGTCTCTTTGTTACCCAATAATATGCACTTGGTTATGTGATGTATTCTTAAAACAATCCCACTTCTGTTCAGTGTTAGAAATAAGTTGTCTTATTTCTAACACTGATCTCCGGATAATTGAAGTCACCCATTATAACAACATTTTCCTGCTTCCCAGCTATTTCTAAATGTAGGTTAACCTCCTCCTCTTCCCCTATATTAGGGGGTTTGTAACACCCACCCACAATTAGTTTACGACCAGCATCAGTCTTATCTAGTTCTAGCCACCATCACAACTCTCTGTCATGAGGTTGTCCCGCATTTGCACATTTAGATTGTTTTTTTACATACATGTATACCCCTCCACCCCCCACCCCCCCTTCTACCTACCATATCCCTCCTGAACAGGTTATACCCTTCTATATTGGCAGCCCAATCATGTGTGCTGTCTAGCCAAGTTTTGGTTATTGTTCTAGCATTGGTGTACATACATTTAAGGTTGGTGCTAGCAGTTTGGGTTATATTATTACTCATTTCTGGAGCCCAGCTACTTTTTTTTATTAGACCTTGGTATGGCTGAAATATTACTAATTAGATTTACTGGAGTTATTAAACGAACTATGTTTACTATATTGACTGGAGTGAGCCCTCTATCCACCTTGTTATTACTGCCCTCTATATTGTTCCTGTAGTTAATTATTAACCATTTCCCCACCCCAAAAATGCTGCACCTTCCCCATTAGGATGCAGCCAGTCTTGGCTGTGGAGCCGGTAACCGACTGAGAAGCTAGCCCAGTTCTCCAGGAAGCCGAAGCCCTCTTTCCAACACCAGCTCCGAAGCCACTTGTTAAGTTCCCACAATTCTCGCTGTCTCTCTGGAGTGGCTCATGCCACCGGCAGTATCACAGAGAATGCTACCGTGGAGGTCTTTTTCTTCAACCTGGCAGCTAGGTCTCTAAAATCGCTTTTTAGGACACTCCATTTGCCTCCTATTTTGTCATTGGTGCCGATGTGCACCATCCCAGCTGGGTCGTGCCCAACCCCATCAAGTAACACCATCCAGTAAGAACAAACTGTTTGACGCTCACTGTCCCGATTGCAGATTACCCTGTCCGTCCGTCTGATAGAATCCCCCACCACCAGAATCATGTCTCTCCTGTCCCTCCATCCTGCTCCCATCTTTGCTGAAGCAGTCACTCCCCCTGCGGATAGAAGAGGCATCCTGCTCTAGCAATGCCTCCCCTGAACTAATGTCCCCAACATCCTGCAGCCTGGCATATTTATTGGGGTCTATACACAGAGCTCCCCTGGTGCTCATACAGGAAGGAAGGAATCATGTGGTTCACCTGTCCCCTCCTATTCCTTCATCCATTCACAAAAAGTAGAGCTGAAACAATTATTCGATTACGTCGATTAGAATCGACGATGGAAAGCGTTGTCAACGTTTTCCATCGTCAATTCGTCGGCTAAAATTGAAATTTGCCGCTCACGCCCGCTTGTTCGCGGCTCCGTACACGTGTTACTCTACGCACGCCACATATGTCACGCCCGCCACACAGGCCAGACACGTCCGCAGAGCACGCCGTCACCGATGAGTGAAGGGAAGGTGAGGATCTTTGGAAAGCAAGTAAGTAATTAAGCACTTGCATAGACCTTAATGGGCAAATCTCAGGTGCACCTTAATACATGATGGCTGGAAATCCTATCATCTGGAAATATCTCTGTTCATGACACCCAATAACCTACCCCCCGCAAAAGTATAGCAAATTTGTTGATACAGGATTTGGTAAAGTTCACTTGGAGGGTTAACATTCTTTTGTGGTCTGTCCACACAGCCCTATCTCGTCTGTAATTCACATACCTTATAAGTGGGGGTTTTCATTACACACATCCTAGTAAGATGCGTGTACCAGATGATTGACTAATGCCATTCCTTTTTTAATGTGAATATATTGAGAAATTAAAGGCTGTTATTTATGCCTGATCGTGCTTTACAACAATACATAATGACACTATGAGTTGTAGCACAGCAAACCGACAGAAACTGATAGGTCTGCCACATATTGGCAGATATTGACTTTGCTGAGAGGCGTTATTGATCTGCCTTTCTTGGTATTTTTCATTGCATGCCAAGTTGCATGCCAGCTTATTGTATCTCTAGGCACTCCAGTGGTAGGATTTCCAAACCAGAATCCAGCCCTGCCTTACAGCCACAGTCATCACAGAACCAAGTAATGAAAGAATGCCTCCCTGGTGTATTTGCAGTAATGTTGATAAAAATATTTGGGACAGTTTTCTCTAGGTCAGGGTGAGTCCACCGCACAAACCAGACACACGCCCGCAGAGCATGCCGCCGCTGCAGCAGCGACTTACAAGGGTTCAGAAACAGGTAAGGGGGACCTGTTTTGATGTTTCCTGTTTAAAAAAAAAAAAAGCGGCACACTGCAGAACACCAGCATCTATAGAGGAACACCAAATCCCAGCAATAATACATTAAACAGCCTGTATAATCTATTTTTGCTGGGATTTGTTGTTCCTCTATAGCTGGTGGTATTCTCCATTGCGCTGTATAATACATTATTGCTGGGATTTGTAGTTCCTCTATAACTGGTCAGTGGTAATCTGCATTGCACAGTATAGTCATTATACAGCGCAATGGAGAATACCACCAGCTATAAAGGACTACAAATCCCAGCAATAATACATTATATACAACGCAATGCAGAATAACAGCAGTTACAGAGGACTACAAATCCCAGCAATAGTACATTATAGTATAATGTACTATTGCTGGCATTTGTTGTATTCCTCTATAGCTGCTGGTATTCTGCATTGTGCCGTATAATCATTATACAGCACACTGAAGAATACCACTAGCTATAGAGGACTACAAATCCCAGCAATAATACATTATATACAGCGCAATGCAGAATAACGCCAGCTACAGAGGACTACAAATCCCCGCAATAGTACACTGTAGTGTACAGTTGCTGCGATTTATTGTATTCCTCTAAAGCTGCTGGTATTCTGCACTGCACCGCTTTATAATGCACTATATTGCACACCACACTCTTTTTTTACTTCCACCGCGCCAAGCTTGCTCCCGTGATGGACTACAATCTCAATACAAACTAGTAGTCCATCACTGGGGCCTTTTTTTTTTTATCCAATTAATCGAACTCAATAAACGGCTAACTAATCGATTATGAACATAATTGTTAGCTGCAGCCCTAACAAAAAGCCTTATATTCTTTTTGCAGAATGCAAGGTGCTCTGTGAATGGATGAGGGGAGAGGAGGGGCAGATAGACAATATGAATCCATTACTGAGAGCTAGGGCACTCAATCACAGTGCCGAAAGTAGAGTGCTGTGTGTTGTCTCATGTGATGGAAATTAGGATTTGTACAGTGAACAGCAGAGATACACCCATAGGTTAGTCATTGTTCGAGGTAACTTATTAGCTTTGGATATATGACTGGAGTGTCTACAGTGGGCAATGTTCACTTAGCATTAAATTTCCTTGCAATGAGAGAGAAAAAAAACAATGTCAGGAGGGGCCCATGATTCTATATCTTGTTTACAATTCTTGTAGAACAGGGTACGTGGACAAGATGGACACTTAGTCCCAGTGTTCCGCTGAACACCTCTGCACAGCCTCACAGATCCTGAGTTTGTCCCGGACACAGACTTTGTGGCTCCTAAACGACCACCAAGATGACTTGCAAATGAAAAGAGGAACAGCGGCCACATAAACTGACCAAATTCTTCTCCGATCCGAAGCGAGGACAAAATGGCGGCGGAAATTCACTATGGGCCTTTCAATCCCCGGCTTGGAGAAATCACAGCCCTCGTCATGCAGTCTCGTCAACATCTGTGGGCTCCATCTCTTCTCCCATACACAATGATGATATCTTGCTTGCCTCTTTACACACTACCAGCCCTGTCAAGACGCAGCTCAAAATTTTAGAGGAGCGAGCTGCAGATTTAGAGGTGAACCATCTTAACTCCTCTATGAACTAAACCATGGAATTAAATAGTTCTATCAATGGCTTCCCTAACAGCGACCAACTTGTTCTAGACACTACGCTTAAAGACATGCTGATATCCTCATACAGTGCTCTACACTCTGGTTTCCTTTGTTCTTGTTCGCTCAGAGGTCACTAGTGTGGGAAACAGAGTAGACCACATAGAACATAAGGTGGGAAAATTTGCATCCACAATTAATGATCATGTCTCTGGCGATGTTCTCTGGCTGAAATCTAAAGTGGCGGATCTAGAGGACCGATCCAGTCGCAACAACATCAAGGTAAAGGGGATCCTTGAGTTGATACCCCAACATCATCTTCTTTCATACATTCAAGATCTACTATCTACACTACTACTGCTTTTCCTTCTATTGAACTTGTGATCAACATAATCCATTGACTGCCAAAACATGCATTCTTGCCGGAAAAAAAGTTCCCTGTGATGTCATCTTCCATATTCATTTCTTCCACTTAAGGAGAAACTTCTGGCTGCAGTCCAATCTCCTTCACTGCCAGATCAATATTGTCCTTACAGTTTTATCCTGATCTGTCTCAGCACACATTGAATTTTCATAGAACCCTGGCACCCCATCACCATAGCGTTGAGGAAACAATATTTCCTACAGATGGGGATATCCTACAAAAATTATCACAAATAAAGGCTTGACGCACAATCTCATCTCTAGAAGAAGGCATCAGTATTATTTGGCTCTGGAACATTCAATCTGAAAATCCTCCCCCGAAACCCTCTTCTTCTGGCCGAAAACTCATCCCCAAGTGGCAACGGTCATAAAAGGGTAGTAAACGTGTCTCTTGACCCATTTATGAGGTGTTTATTGTGGTCATATACAAGTTTTTTTTTCTTATTTAATTGAGAGGTCAAATGCTTGATACTGCCATATCAGTTGTTCAATGCCCCAGTTAAATAGCACAGTGTTATACTGTCTACTATTTCTATTACATCTACAGTTTTTAATGTTTCCAAATGCGTTAAATAAGTTACTACTATTGTTCTTAAAATTTTTTACTACTACTATTGTTCTTAACATTTTTTACTACTCTGTTTTTACATACCAATGCACTCAAGCTACCTCACTTGTGCCCTGCTATGATGTGATCCCCTGGTGTCACACCATGTAGAGCTTGGCTATTTTAGCATGTGTGACTATATTTATGGCCCCTTTTTCTTTAATGTGCTTATCCATTTTCTCCTTTCATTATTTATTATCTCTCTGGCTTTGAAGATTCTCTCGCTCAACGCCAAGGGCCTTAATCACCCGAGCAAGTGTTCTTTAATATGGAAAGAGGCGCTGAAAACAATTTCCAACATGTGTTCCAGAGACACATTTTCGTGACAGATATGCTCCACACTGTCCACATAAAGATTTTTCTCATCTGTCTATTTACTATGCCAACGAAGAGTGATGGGCGAGATGTAGTATGCTGTCTTTCTGTGCTGGTGTGAAGGAGGTGTTGAGGTCACTTTCCCATTTGGCCAACAATGTTGGATAGGACTCTGGGGGGTGCAAGATCATCATAGAGTACAGGGAGGATATCGCGTGGCGAGTGGGTATCTCCTCCTTACAGGTCCGTTCAAACAAAGTCAGGGGTCTGGAGAGTCTGTGGTGGTCAGGTATGGAGAGCAGGAAATGCCTCAGCTGGAGAGCACCCCACTGGTCCAGGGGGGGTTCTGTCAGGCACCTGAGTTCGCCGGCCGACAGTCATCTGCAGGAAAGGAGTAGGTCGCAGACGCGAAACTTGTTAGCTTCGCGGAGGCGTCGGAAGCGAGAGTCAGTGATGCCGGGCGAGAAGTCTGGGTCTCCAATTACAGGGCTCAAGGGCGATGGGAATTGGGAGATGTCCGTGGAACGAAATAGTGATCTGGCTAAGAGGAGGGTGGGAGCGTGTGGAGAGCCAGGGTAGTCCAGCCAAGGCCGGGTTAGTGTCATCTTCCTCCATACCCATCGCTTGGTTTTCCGGTGGCAGCACCAATCCCAGATACGGGCTAGGTGGGTCGCCCTATGGTATTTGGCCAAGTCCGGGAGTCCAATACACCCTCTGTTCTTGGGAAGGGTAACAGTACCGTAACGGATTCGGGGGGGGGGGCATAGGACCATAGGAAAGCTGTGAACATTTGGAGCAGGCGGTGGAAGAATATTGGCGGGATGTGAATCGGGAGCGCTTGGAACAGGTAAAGGACCCTGGAAGGGTGGTCATTTTGATGGCGTTGCAGCGTCTGAACCAGGAAAGTGACAACGCATGCCAGGACAGAAGGTCCTGCTTAATCTTCAGGAGCAGGGGGGCAAAGTTGAGTTCATATATTCCCGAGGGATCCACTGCTATAAGTGTGCCCAAGTAGGTTAGAGCGTCCGGAGCCCAAGCAAATGGAAAGGAGGATCTCAAGTGGATCTCCTCCATATGAGGGAGGGAAACATTGAGGGCAGCTGATTTGGAGTAGTTTTATTTTAAAACTAGAGATGGAGGTGTAGCGATCCATTTCCCTCATCAGGATTGGAAGGGAGGAAGAAGGGTCAGCTATAAAGAAGATCAAATCATCCGCGAAGGCGGCTACTCTGTGCTCACCAGAGCATTTTATCAGGCCCTGTAGGGAGCGTATGCGACAGAGGAACGGTTCCAAGGTGAGGATGAATGAGTGGGGAGAGGGGGCATCCCTGTCGTGCACCATTGGAGATTGAGAAAAAATCGGAGCGAGCTTCGTTCACACGGACGGCAGCCGTCGGGGACGAGTAAAGTGCGGAGATCCACCTCAGCATTCCAGGATCCAAGTCTATGTGGTGAAGGGTGGTTTGAATGAGGCGCCACTCCACCCTATCAAACGCCTTCTCTGCGCCGGTGGACAATAGCATTAGAGGTGACTGGGTGGAGCGGGCGTGGTGGATTGCATTGAGGTAATGTCCCTAGGCTCCCGTCCCGGGACGAAACCCGCTTGGTCCAAGTGTACAAGGCCCGGTATATACTGGATCAACCTGTTGGCCAGAATCTTGGCAAAGACCTTCAGGTCCAGGTTGAGGAGAGCTATGGGGCGGTAGCTACCACATTGAGACGGGTCTTTACCAGGTTTAGGTATAACTGCAATGTGGGCGCGGAGAGAGTCCCTAGGAGGAGGGGAGCCCGTCAGGAGGGAGTTATATGCCTCTAGAAAGTGGGGTGAAAGGATGTGGGATACGGTTTTGTAATAGGGCAGTGTGTATCCGTCAGGGCCAGGTGCTTTACCCGGTTTAGCCTGTTTAAGCGCCATTTCATATTCTTCTGGGGAAATCGG